CTTTTTTTTATACACCCTGTAGATTCGGTTCCGAAATATCACATCCTCGAACCGACCTGTCTGCGTAGCTCAGTTGGCTGAGCATTGGGCTGGTATTCCAAAGGTCGTAGGTTCGATTCCCACCGTGGCAGGCATATTTTTCAAGCTTGTCCGGTGTCGATATACACTCAGAGTTAAGCAACATGTATTAATTTTACTATATAGTATATGGTATTATATTTCTTGATAAGAGATTCTTTCCTTTTAATACAGGCTGTTATCGTAACCACTACAGTGAATATATTACGACAAATCACTTTTGAACCACGTGTTGACGACAAAGACGCCAAGCATGCCCAACAAAAAAAACTGCAAGCCATCGAAGACATCTTCACCGCAGCGTCCACCAAAATCATCTTGCAAACCAGAAGAAGATTCTGGGAGGACAAAAAGTACAATATCCAAGGTGGCTTTTCTAAGACCAATCTTCCAATCGGTCAAATACATTACGTCAAGCCGGATCCGGAATATATCGAGTCCACGAAGGAAGGAATAATTCTGATTTACACCTGGAAGAATGAAGCACTGATTTTTGGTTCCTTGACAGAAGATCAAGTCAAACAGGAGGCAATTCGACAAATCTCAGAAATCCATTCAGAAATCAAGGAAAAAGATATGGTTCAAGCTTGTATTGTCCATGCATGGCACAACAAGCCCTCTTATCAAGGTGCTTATGGCCTTTTGAAGACCTCTCAGTTTAAAAATATCAGGTAAGGACCAGAGCAAAATTGTCTTATGTAACGATCATGTAAAAAATAGGCTTTCATACTGATTACCATTTGTGAGTTAAGGTGGCTCAATATAGTCTTTAAAGATGACAAATTCACGACTTAGATCAATATTTTTGGAGAATAATTACTTGTTGAAAAATAAAAAGTATCTTATTGATATAAAACAACATACATCTATAGGGTTTGAATTTTTTCACAACTGCCGTACGTAGCTATGCAAAAATAACTTTTCAAAATGGCCTTATTGACTTTAATGTAATTTAACACATAAACAACATCGATGACCCCCAAATGTTATTTCATAAAATTATTTGCATTCATGATATGAAGCTGCCAAGCGTTCAGTTTTCAACTCGCTCAGTTTAGAAACCGTGCTCATTACAAATTGTGTTGTTGTTGTTATGTACTCAGGTGAATATCACGTTTCTGATGTTACTCTGAGTGTACGTACATCCACAACGACCAAGCAGAAAAGTTTTCCTGACCACACTGGGAATAGCCTGCGTGCAGGCCCAAGGGAACTTGATAGTGGGCCTGCAACCATCACCCCATGTTTTCGATTTTCGTCGGCCGAACCGCCGGCTAAATTCCCATTGGCTAGCTGAGGCGATCGGTAATTAATTAACCTAGCCCATTGTGCAGGCACAAGGGAACAGTGATTCATCACAAAGGCATAGACAAAGGCTCTCGATAAGCTTAAAATTTGAAAATTGATCACTTTTTTCGATTACAAATGGAACAAGAACAGACTGTTTATTGTTTACTTAAAGGAAGACATGTTTTTGCCGTTATGCCAATGGGGATTGCTTGTCGTGAGGTGTTGGAATAGCAACATTACGACTGGGGTAAACTATAGTAACCTTTACTTGAGTTTCATTAATTTCAAACAGACTTCAGTTGATACGTTATGTGTTCTCACTTCCTCAAGAAAATTATCTTTTGGTTGATGTTGAGATGCAGTTGCATGTAAGAACTGTAAGCCTATTTGAAACACTTTGCGATTTACAAGGCTTCGCAGAGAGCGAAACAGAAGGCGGTATTAAATTGCCGTTTGAAACGAAACGATCTGGACTCGGAACGCTCTCTTCTTTTGTAGAGTTCTTTACCAAATGAAATAAATTTCGTACTTTCCGCCGCCAACAAGAATTGCACACACGATCTGATAAGTGAGACAATTTATTTATAACAATGCCAATGGCGACAGCGAAGCACACATAATATAAATCCTAATGTGGTCGCCCGACTTCCCTCATGATTTGAAGTTTGAGACTGGTTTTCTGTTGAAATTCGTCCTAATTTGCCTGTTCCGATTTTAGTTGAAAATGAGCACTTACAAATTTGGCAATTACTGACTGCGTTGCTTGCTTTTTTGGAGTTAAAACGCAGCCATTTACACATTGTTTATTAGTGTTCTGAATAAGCAGAGAAAACCCCGCAACATTTTAATGCGAGTTTGTTTGTTAATATTTGGGTGCTGTCATTGGTTCTTTTTTGACAATTGACGCGCGAATGGGGTGTGTTATGAAAAGGGGCGTATTTCAAAATACCGGGCGATGGTTGCAGGCCCACTATCAAGTTCCCTTGGGCCTGCACGCAGGCTACACTGGGAATCGAACCCGCAACCTTTGGGACACTAATATAATCATGTTCAACCAAGTGAGCTACGATATCAAGCCCCCAGACGTAGTGTGATATAATATGTACACATAGTCTTTTATGTGGCGAGTGCAGGATTTCCTGAATGCACAGTGCCGTAGCAAGCTCGATAATTGGGGAGAGGGCTCATATTCATATATTCGTGTTCTGCGTTATTCATTTCTTTTGAAATCGATTGTTTTTATGGTCTGTGAACACGAATATATGAATATGGGCCCCTTCAATTATTGAGCCTGCTACGGCACTGATGCAATATGTCTGCCTTCTCCATCTGACTATATATCCCCAAACCGGAACGAAAATATCGAATTTGCATTACGGCCAATCAATGTCGAGTGCATTAACCCAACGGGCAAATCAAGCGTTGAGTCAGCTGTGCAATCTCGTACCCAGAGCAATGCCTGTGCGCGGGCTAGGATGGCATTGGCTCTGTGGAAATTGAATTTTTCTTGTGCTGTGACTGGTTTAACGTTTATCAATCATGCATACCGACAAAGAACCGGAACCCCTAAATTTAGGGGTTCCGGTTGTCAATTTCCGCAGGGCGAATGCCATCTTAGACCGCGCGCACAGGCATTGCTCTGGGTACGATTGTTGAACATTACATACGCGACCAGACCGAAAATAACAGGAGTTGACATGTCAGCTTTATGTCACACGTTCATGAGTTCAAATTGTTTACAGCTTGGAGTTTTCTGGTTCGCTATAGAAAGCGTTTATTATTTATGGTTGGGGGGGGGGCGGTGGAATTATGGGGGAGGGGGGACTTTGGTGTTTGTTTTTGGGGTCACCAGAGTTTGAGGAGTGATTGAGAGGCGGGAGTGTTGGTAATAAAAGTTTTAGTTCTGGCAAAGTTTTGACCTTTTCAAAATGGTATAGAACATAACCGGAGCTTTTACACTATTACTAACGTCATAATATCAAATTCCAAATACATGCCATATTTATACAATTGTGCTGCATTTTATATAAAATAGGGAAGGGGTCACAAAAGATTTTGGCCTCTTCTTTGGCAGGAGGGGTCTCCTGTTAGTTCCGCTATTGCCAGAGGAGGGTCATGTCGATATTGCGAGAGAGAAGAGGTGTGAAATGCCGCTCCCCTCAAAATAGTAAATAATGAACACTCCCTTATCGATGTATATTCTTTGTATGCTTTAAATGAAAAGGTTCAGAAAGCTTTCGAAGATACGTCTGCTATTTTTAACAGTTCGGGTGACAAAACTGACATTTGAATTAAGATTATTTATGGGTAGGTGCCGTAATTTTGAAAACGGTTGTAATAGTTTAATTGTACAAGCTAAACAAATAACTTTAATGGTATGAGAGATTGGATTTTGTGTTTATCTACATTTATTTATATTTGTTGTATTTAGATACTTGTGGGAACCCATGGGTAACGTACATTTCGCTGGAGAAGCCTTATCATTTGCCGCTGGTTGGATTCAAGGTGCCTTGGAGAGTGGCCTCAAAGCCGCATATCAAGTTTATGCACGTTACAAGAAGAGAACAACTCGAAAAGGGAAATAATTGACACTAAATATTTTTTTGTCTCATTGGAACTGCAGAATGTATCTACGTTGACGGCTTTCATATATTGGCATTTGTTGCAATTGAATAACTTCCAAAAATGTATAAGTGTTTTTTTAGATTATACATAGTTTTGCATGATAAAGTTTTTGGATTTGTACTTCCACTATATTTCGATATTTAATTCATTTCTGATTAATTGAATTGTTCCTATTTTGTTTTTCATTTTGTATCAAAATATGCGGACGTTGCGTAGGGTGAATACCATGGCGCTTATATATAGGGCGGTGAAACGGCTATAGGCGGGCCGATCGATGTGTGATGCATTGAACTGGTAACGAGTTTGTTGTGGTTACTATGGCGACGTTGTCTTATGGCAAGGATAAATATGGGGGAAAAACTGAGCTTGAAGTTTTGACTGTTTTGTAGTCAAGTTTTGATGAAGAAATTGATATTGGGGATAAAATTCCGATGTTATACGATAATTTAGTAGATTCTGCTATTGTATTTTCAGGTAATACTGCCAATATTTTAGAGTTTTTCTCAAAACGCTTGCGAAAGCTTACGAACGGTTGCTTTCGCAAGAAGCATGACGTGAAAGGTTTTTAAAACTCTTTGTACGTACACGCATCGTTCACGTTCGATAGAATACAATTCATAATTAATTTTAGCCACTAGTTGATCTTTTCAGTTGAAAATCAAGAAATGCTCAACTTGAATTTGTATTTTTTTAACGAATCCTTACGAGAAGTTGTCTTGGCCAGCCGGTCAAAAAAAATCAAAGTTGGGACAAAACTTTTTCGACTATTGCGCTCAACAAACGTCCGAGTGAGTCGTATTGTGATTCTAAGGCCAAGAAGTAAAATATGTTTACGGCTCAGAATTACTTCAATTGAATGCCTTAAAAGTCGGACAAAATTATTAACATAATAACAAAAAATCATGACATGGCCAAAATACAATTGTTGTTTATTTTTTTGCAGCGAAATAATGGTCTAACGAGAAAAAATTTAACACAAAAAAATACCTCACTTTCCAACGCTGTATATTCAATTGCTCAACTCCGAATCTTATGAAAACGTTTGGAGATAAGCACATAATTATAATCTTTACCATCAACTGAATTTCGAAGTTTGGACGACTTGATAACATGCCCAAATGCTGTTTTGAAAATTTCCCTTCATTGAAGTCATCAAAAGCCCGACTCATTATCCTCAATATTTCTTTCAAAATTTAACTATACAGGCCAAACAAGCATTCTTACGATACACTAGTTAGTACTTCGTCGTTACAGTGCAAAAACAACCTCAAGAATTTCGTAGTTAATGAAAAAACAACGAAAATACAACAGCAGGAAAAATCACGCTCCTTGTCAACTTTTGCCGAAAAGCACGCTCGTGCCAGTCCTTTTCCGCATCACATATCGATCAGCGCGACATTAGCGCGTTGCACCGCCCACTATATAAGCACCCTGGTGAATACCACTCGTAAGCAGACTGGCTAGGAACATACTTGATGAGTGCATTTTGAAGATGAATCATTGCGAATCATGGCGTGGCAGCGGTTACGCTTCCTTAGCTGAGGCGGCCTTCTGTAAGGTCTCGATACCGTCATAACACTCTATTCCTCTAAATCTGTGATAGCTCGTCCTGTTTACACGGATAACGTATGTTATAATCGAATAAGCACGTGTAAAGTAGTGCATTTAAAATTTCGCCATAAACTAAATAAATAGAAATTGTGGCGTCTGCAGCAATTCTCATATGCCAAAATTCAAATCGTACACGGCAAATTACAGCCTGTAAACCCACCTTTATGGTTCACCTGAAATCCCCTGCAATCATAATTATAAATTGCGGAAAAGACGCTGGGAATGAGGTTGATCTGGGTGCACATATATAATTTATACCAGAGCGTGCCCGTTGGCAAATGTGTGTGTGTCTGTCAACACGTTAACTTAAAATCTCAACACACTAGAAAATTCATACATGCATGATGCATGGAGAAACCCCTCGCTTTGCTGACAAAACCATAGCATTTTCCGAACATGAAGTATTTCGAGTAGTTGTCATGGCAACACGATAATTTTATTGAGAATATTTTTACAATTGAAATATCCCCTAAGGGAGTGGTCATTATTTATGGGGTGGTAGAGGGTGGATGATTTTGAAGAGAGGTTACAAAATTTTGGAAGTCGCTGAAGGAGGGGGTTATCTTGATTCTTGACTTGAAGAAGAAGGGATTACTAGAAGAATAGTCTTAAGGTGGCTCCCTACAGTTAGTACAGTTTAAATACGATTTATATAGATCAGACTTCATCCTCGCGACCTGCGCGAGGAATCGTCGTGTTTACTGTTCGGCAAAAATATTGAAACAAGCCGTGGGAAGTTTTTTGGCGTTTTTATCTACAAAGAAAGCCCCAGTTTTTCATTAAAATCCTATTTTTTTCTGAATTCGAACAGTACGTATGTTATTAACTAGTTTAACTTATCTTTTAGTGTGTTTTTACGTATTTACGTTCAGTATTGTCTTTCATATTGCTCAAAATTTTCAACTTGTTGTTTTGCGAGCTGTCAAACTGAAGTCATACTGTCTTCTATTAACTCTTGAACAGTAGTGAACTGTTGCCGAAACTTATATAAGTTCTGTCAATCAATTCAATTCATAGGTATCGTTTTATTTGCTAAATCAAATAAAACAGTTATGAGTTGTTTTATATGAAAAGTTAAACTTGTAGTTCGATGTTTTGAAAAGTTTCACACCGATTTTAACAACAAAAACAAATGTAAACTAACACTGGATTTAATACAATGCCTATAATAATGTTTTTTTATTAGTACTTTCAAGATTAATATTTTTTTTCATATCAAATTAAACAAGTCAGAAATATCTGTTTTCTTATGTATTGTAAGCCAAAAAGTTGAAATCACTATAAATCACACGCTACAATTTACACGCATGCGCAGATCATGCTCATGTCGAGTCGATTTTTTTTCATGCTGGCCACGCCGATTTTAGCGATGATTTTCTCGTGTTTTCTTCGGTGAAATTTTTTTAAACTTTATATTTTTGTTATACAAGATGAGTGGTACAACATATCCAAATTTTAAGAATAGCTACAAACAACTTTTTCTGTAACCGTCATTCACGAATATCTCGAAAATTTATTTGTAAATTCCCTTCAAATTTTGATATGTTTTTCCTTTATGGACCATAAATCTTCAAAAAAAATGTCAGAAAAATTCACCGAAGGAAAATATAGATATTGTCAATTTATTGTGAAATTAGACAATAAAAGTGCAAAAGATTAAACGTCATGGTTGCCATGGCAACACAAACACTGTTTTAATTTGTTCATAAATGGACAGCACACAGCTTCTGAACTTTCCTGGAAATGATCATATTGCCTTGTCTTAAGTGTATCTAATATAAATTCGGTTCAAAGCGAACAATACTCAAAATACGTAGAATTTTAGAGAACTGTCGGGAACCACCTCAACAAACTGAACAAATCGAAATAATACATTGTAGATAATGAATATTTAACATTTATTCCACGAACTCGAGTGAAATATGAGAATATATATATTTCAATATTTTTCTATATTGTTTATGTTTCTATTTTCGTTTTTTCGCCCGATTATTTTTTCAAAAATACATATTTTTAACCAGTTGAAATTTTGGCTGCTGGATTTGCCATGAAAGACGTTTTATAAGTCGTATGTTTGGTCGTGTTGCTCAGTTTTAATTTTTGAAATTTTGTATTTTATGCCATTCGCTGAAAATATATCTAGCCGTTTTTATCAGAAGCATTGAAGGTACTTTCTAAATTACTTATGTTCAGTTTTTTTTTTCTTTTTTTCTATGTCTTTGGTATTCCTACAGTATATCTTTTTCAAGGTTTTTCTCGTTTATTTTGTTCGCTTTTGCCCACATGGCCAGAAATCACGGACATTTACATTTCTCAGGTTTCATGTTACCACGCACATCAACGCAACAATGGCTGCGCAATGCCCTATGTTTATTATCAGGCGAGCGGAGTATTTTCAATATAGCATGCTATATATAAATCTTAGAATATTTGTTGAAATTGGTTCAAGAAGTAGCGGTCGTATAGTAACACATTAAAAAAAAATGTTCTCATTACTTTGTATAGTCGCTCTGCCTTTTGCGATTAAATATTAAAACATTTTACCTCACTTTACATAGGAATCTATGAAGGTTTCTCGCTCAAACGGCAAAATCTCGTAATATATTCAATTATCGAAATTTGTTGAAATCATTTTATTTTGTCGAATAGTATAGCCTTGCCTTCCGCCGTTTATTATTTTGTTACACCCGATAAAGGCTCTGCTTTTTTGTCTTGAAATTCGAAAGCCGGTGCGTTAATATGCATATCATATATATTACTTCGCGGTCAAAAAGTTATATTTCATTCGCTTTCTAAACTCGAAATATTGATTGCCTTGCTACATGTTTGGTACCAAAATACTCGTCAAAAGCTTCTCTTTTCATTTCAGTAGCTGTTGCTTAGCTACACGCTGCGCCTGGTACACTAAAGGCCACAACTTGAGTGCATACTTCATGCTTTGCTTTATAAACAACACCCACGCGAATATTTAACATTCCGGATGTTTTGACAGGGTGTAAAAGGATAATTAGGAATTCTTGTGGATAAATGGAAAAGCTGCTGCAGGTACGCTTGCACAATGTCCGTCATTTCTGGCCATGAAACTTCTCGAAACAAAAACATATCAGTCGACGAAGGAGGAAGCGGCCAAGCCATTTAATTTTACTGTTTTTACACGTAGAACTATAGATAAAATTGCTTTGTTGCTTCGGTCTATTCATTCTTGTTTTCTGAAAAAAAAATTATTTTAAAAGCAATATAGTTTTCTTTATATTTTGGGATAAACCCAGAAAGAGCAAAGCGGCAGAGCTACAGACCACATGCATTATTGCGTCACAATGCACGCGTATTAGCCAATCAAATTGTCTGATTTATCTCATTTATATAATAATAGTGAATAAATTCTGGTTTGCAGGTCATATTTATAGTTAATATTTTGTAGGTTATAGTATAATGGTTTGGAGTGCAATTTGGGAAAAACATGCACGAGTGAGTTCTTCAAATTCTAAATTGCTCACGAATGTCTGTTTTTCGAATTTGTCCTCCAAACTATACTATTACTTCTTGGCCAATGAAATGCGTTAGAATTTGATAGGTTTGTCCTGCTCGCCTGAGTTGAATACATGAGAAAACTATGTACAGCAAATTTGTGGTAACTTGCTGCACGACGTGCGAAATATATCATTATCAACATGCTTATTTGAATGCTACAACTAGAAATACATGCATGCAACAACCCCTCGCCTATATTCTCCAAACATTGTTTCAATATGAAGTATTCGTAATTACGCCAATATTGAACGCAGGCTCGTGTTGCTCACGTCATCTTTGTCATGTCAACAGGCATCACGAATTCACGATAACTTTTTAAAAAAATTTTAATTTGTATAAACCTCCAACTGGCAAACAATAGATGAAACTTGAACACTTTTAAGTACAGAACTATCAATTTCTAAAATATATAAAGTAGATATATTATTTCGGTTTCTATGCACTTTATTTTAATGTAAAAGTGAAAACGAAACTCTACGTAAAAGTTTTTAAATTGAAATTAACTACTTTTTGCCGATCGCGATATTAAACTTGAGCTCAACTCATTACTCGCACTTTGAAATGAAATAAATTTAATTCGTACAGAACGCTAATGAAAATAATTTGCTTTTCTTTTTATCATGAACTTCTACAAAAGTTAATTTCATTTTAACTATGAAACTTTCGCATACAATCCATAGAAAAGATTTGAACAACAAGAACAAAGTCTATAACATTAATACAAAGTCATACATAAACAATTGAAACAAACTTGCCCTATAGGCTATTCTTTAGGGTTTCTCATACCATTCTTATAAATGTTTACGTTTAAAAATTGAAAAAAGTTTGACAATTTATTATGGGAAATGATTTTCCAAGCTTTCTTACATGTAATTTTTATATTTTCCCCTTCTTCACTCCTGACCAGCAGCCATATTTTGAGATCAGTGAGATGACCACCCATACCAAAGATTAAGTATATAAAGATGGCCGACTCGCGGTCGGTTCCTTTGTTCTCGGTGTCCTCCGTTTCGAAAGCCCACGCAGTTTCCACGCGTTTCGTCTGGTAAGCGCCGAACCAATTTTTTGTATTGAAGTTTATGGCAAAATGCCTAATTTTCACAATAAAACAGCGATTTTAAAAACATCAACCGTCCGATCTTTATTTTGAGGACAAAATTTGAACGAACATGTCAAGCTGCGTCTGCTAAACGGAAAATTATTACACGAATATGTTTAAAACGAAAGAAAATTTGGATAAACGACCTCCGAGGGAGTGAGATCTTTATATACTGTCAACAAGCAGGTGAGGTTCTTTTCATTTCTTGATCATTTTTCGATGGTGTTTTGTGAAATTTCGTACCTTAGACAACACATGCATATAAGACTATTGCTAACTGACACTATAATAACATGTTTGGGATGCGTACAACCAGAGTTTTTATATACTGTACAGATTACAATCAATATACTAATATAAACAATATTCAAATATATAGAAATATTATTTTGTTAGGCT